CCTTCAGCTTCTGTCTTGATGATTTTAGTTTCTTCCATCTTCTTTAGATATCATTCTGAACTTTTCTGCAATTCATCTACTAATTTCAACTTTTTTGCATTTCTTTCAGCTATTTTGAGCCTTTTCTGCTTCTTTTAGCTGTTTTCTGCTAATTTCAGCTGTTTTTTAAAGTTTGTAGCTATTTTTTAAATGATTTGAGCTTTTCTCAGCTAAATTCACAAACATCAGTTTTTTTTACTGCTTAATTAAACACCTGTTCTTTCTGTTTTATTGCACTAATTTTAGCTATTTCAGCTACTTTTAAATCTATTCACTTTTGCTGGAAATATAGAAAAGGATACTTATATATAGTTATATAGTGTATGCAGGAAAGATAGTTGTCACAGCTAATTGGTTTTAGTATGGATAAAAATCACTATTCCTCKATCAGTTTTACAGATACTGAGCTAAAATCTTTGTGTGGYAGTAGCTAAAGTTATTCACAAGACATTTTAAAAACACAAACAGATCAGGCAAGATATTGCAATAAGTTTGCTCATTGTTATTTTTAAGGTAAAACACTGACATGAAAGGTGGTGGGTGATGTGTTTTCCTTCACAGAAAGCTAAACCCTCAGTTTTATGGCTTGGTAGCCTACTGGCAAGTTGGTGTAATGACTTCTCCTTCTTTGTGAAYGCAGGTTGTTGTGATGCTGAAGTGGATCATTCAGCTGTGTGTGTGAGCCACTCTGTTGCATTGTTTCTGCCGTGACAGTGTTTACATATAATTGAGTAATTACCTGTAAAAGATAGCTCTCCTGTGGTTCTACTTAGTTGTAATTTTCCTATCCGTATCAGATTTTATTTTATTTTTTTTTTGTGCTCAGGATGACGCTAAATGCAACAGTTTAGATGTGCTTTCTCGCTCTGTAACTGAGTGGGTGAGCTGTCGTTATGCATAACCACCTTTGTGCTCGGTCTAAATTGGCCTCGTCGGCTTTAACTTCGCAGGAAACAAGAAAGAGTGTGAGGAAATTGTTTTGTCGACTCTGGCTGGATGTCGGCTGGTCATTTGAAATGACACCAAATGGCAGAATGATAATTTGGCTTTCTTTTGTGAGTTTCAGSGTCCCACAGAGAATGGAAAGTTGTAACTGGCACTTTACACTCGTGGCCTCACCCACAATGGCATTTGAAAGACAAACAGCAGTGCGTGCTGCTGGCCTGAGCTGAGGTGAAAGTGCTCATTTCATTTGACATACGGCAGCCAGAGTTCAGCCTAATGCCAGAGTCATTACAGTTATAAAGACTAATGTGGAAAGCAGAACATTTTCTCCAGTTCTGAAGCTGCTCTCCTTTTCTACAAGCACTTAAATCTGCTCATTTCTCTTTCTTTCTTTCTTTCTTTCTTTCTTTCTTTCTTTCTTTCTTTCTTTCTTTCTTTCTTTCTTTCTTTCTTTCTTTCTTTCTTTCTTTC